AAGAGGGGAAAGGGAAGTGAAATGGAAGAGAAAGGGGATGGAGGAAAGCCCAAGCACATTTGCCCCTCTAGTAACAGTGTTGGGGCCCTGTTGCACAGACCTATTCCTACAGCATTTTATACCAACACCAAACAAGTTCCTCATTGGGCATGGCCTTAACAGAGAAGCATAGGTCAAGCTGAACAGACTGAGATCTGGATATGAATGCTTCAAAACAACACTTCACAAGAAGAACATCTTGGACAGCCCCTTATGTGAATTCAATGTCCAACAAACAGTACAGCTCTTAACTGAAAGCTGCAATCTTTACAAATGCCCAGACAGGGCAGATGGAATCCACACGTTGAGTGATAATACTAGACAGTGGCTCATAGTTCTAGAAATTGATATCTGATGCCATACAAAAGAAGAAGCAGCTCTCTTTGACTCTTGGCAGGTTCCTTTTAACCTTGAGATTATTTGGGGGCTTCCTTCTACTTGGCATGGCATTCCTGTATTCAAGAACTGCTGAAGGACATCTAGTTCAGTATCCTTTCTCTGACAGTGGCCAGTACTAAATACTTCAGAGGGAGCTACAAGAGGCCTCCTAATTGCTAGTATTAGAAATTGTCTTAAATCCTGAAGCTTGAGATTGACTATCTCTTCCAAGGCTTATGTTAGTATTAACTATTTATACCTCTGCATCTTCTTGCCATCCTTATACATGCCTAACTTCTTCCCTGAATCCTACCAAATATTTGAACTAGGTGACATCTGGCAGCCATGACTTCTTTAGCTCACTAATTCCATTCCTCTGTTAGGATGTTGGAAGAGGAAAAGGACAAGGAGCAGAGAGACCGGATTTGCTCTGATGAGGAAGACGACGAAGAGAAGGGAGGAAAGCGCATCATGGGACCACGAAAGAAATTTCAGTGGAATGATGAAATCAGGTTTGCGTGGTTTGGAGGTTTTGTTCAGCTGTATTACTTTTTCCCCAGTCCAGACTCCTGAAGTTGCTATGGTTAGGTACTAACACTTGAGCTTGTTTACATTTTTGAGAGGTACCAACCCTTGATAGTAGCCGGCTGCTCAGAGGCTTGGCATTGCCACACCACATTATTTCTGTACTTGCTAGTCCCAGGTTCTGGCTGTGTTCTAAGAATACTCCTGCTGTCAGGCCCAGGGCCAACTCTGTGGGAGGCATTAAGGAGCCTCAGTATGTGTAGGCCAAAGGAGGGAGCTCTTTGGGGAAAGAAGGAGCTGCACTGAAGAGATGTATGTTCTAACAGGACTAGCTTTCATTAATAGAAAACCTACTAGACTATAGGCTGCAGCACCTGGGATTATAGACTTGGACAAAAAGAACAATTGGGAATATTGGTGAAGGGAAATGATAGAATTATAGGGCTGGAAGGGACCTCAAAAACTGTCTAGTCCAGTGCTCTGGTCAAGCCAGAATCATCATCTGTCTAAACCATTTCATCCAAGAGTTTGGAAGTTAAAAGTGAGTTATTCAATGATGAAAACTCCCCATTCTCTATCGGTAATTTGTTCCAGTGCTCAGCCAGCCTTGTAGTTGAAAGTTTTTTCTAAAATCCATTTTTCCTGAAATCTAATTTCCCTTGTTACAACTTAAAACCATTACTTTTTGTTCTGTCCCCCATGGCCACAGTGAATTGTCGATCGCCAGCCTCTTTATAACCATCTTTTATGTGTTTTGAAGATTTATCAAATCTCCCTCTTGGTCTTCTGTAATAGGGTGTTGTGAACTCTGGTTGCTGCCTCCTTTTCACTGTGTATCATAACAGGAGGGACACTGTTATTGCCAGTTTCCTTTAGAATACAAAGGAGATTTCATGCAGCATGGACTGAGTCTTCTGTAAAAAGTTGCTGTAGGGAGTTCTCAAGACAATGGATGCTCATTTTTATAGCTGTTAACACTTGTAATTATGGCCTGGTGATAACACCTGGTGGGGGGGTGGGGAAGATAAGGGAGCTGGGAAGGATTTGCCCCTATTACTCTTGTGGCACAGTGGGTGGTGGGCATTATTGGGGAAGTATCACTCTTCTCTGAAAGATTGGCTGTTGGGAACATCTGGGCTATGGTTCCTAAACTGAACTGGTCTATGGTCTGTTGCAGACTGGCATAACCTAACGTGTGGAGACTGATTCAGTCCAGTCTCAAAATGTCTACCAAATTCTGGGGATAGAGTGCACCTTCTTTGGGGGAAGTTTTGAGTAACCTTTGTCTGAAGTCTGCCCATCCCTCAGGGAGCTGCTTTGCCATGCGGTGAAGATGAAAGTGGATGGCTATGAGCTTGAGAAAAACAAGGTTCAGTCTTTGGAAGATTATTTGAAAACCTTCCTAGATGCGGAAGTGAAAGCCCTCTGGCCAAAGGGCTGGATGCAGGCCAGGTGAGTGAGGTCAAAGCTGACTCATTTTAACATTCCTGGTGTTCCTTACTGAGAGAATCTCTTAAGTCCATCTAGAGTTGGTGAGAATCCCACAGTGTCCATGCTGTGTCCCTGTCATCAAGAAGGAAGGCTGAAGCACAGAGTTCAGTGACTTCAGCAGGATTTGAACCTTGATATCTTCTGCACTGCTCAGCTGTGCTTGCTCTTGAGTTCTAGAAGCGAGGATGCCAGCATGAGATGGAGAGAGCCATTTTGATGAGACTGTCTGTTGTCTTGCTCTGTGATTTTAAAAGGACAGCAGTATGTTCCCACTGCTGGAGTTTGATAGTCCTTTGTTTTCAGTGAGTTGGATGGTGATGTTCCATTTTCTCTTCCTCAACCTCCTTTGTAGATTATCGAGGGAGAGGGGAGAAATGGGTCCCAGGTTTTTATAGCTGCACATGCAAATAACCAATGACTGATCTACATGGACATTTGCATGCTCCTTTGCTGCAACTGTGTATGTAAATGAGATGCCCAAATGCATTTGTCATGTTCTTTTCATATAACAGACTGAGTAAAGCAATTGAGGAATAAGTGTGCAGAATTATGTTGGCTTGAAATAGAAACATTTCCATAGTTTGTTCCAGCTTCTGGAGGAAAGTGGTTCTTAACCAAGTGAATGGTTCCTGAAGCATTAGCCAGGTACTGTTTCAATACTGACACTAAATGCTGGAGAGCCAGGACACGAAATTGATTAGAAAATGACTAGGAACGGAAATGTTTTTTCTTGGTCACCTTCCAACCTGTGGAAGACAGGCTAAGCTCCTCAGACCTCATGGGGTGAAGGCAGACAAACAGGTAAGTGGACAGAAAGCAGGGCAAAGGGAATGGCAACAATTGGTGTATACATTTCACATGCAAATCATTTTGATTCTTTGTAAATGACAAGGCAGTGGTTGATCTTTAAGAACTTCAAGGAGGGTTGTGTGAAAATAGGTAGTCTATTTCTATTCTGGTAGGTAAATGGCAGTTAAAAGAATACATACTCTGAGCTGGCATTTTTTTCAAAATGGTTTCATTTTATAATCAGGTATGGGAATAATAACGAGAAGGCATTAAATGCATATATCTTGACTGTGTTTATAAGTTTCTTCCCCTGACACCTGAAGAAGCAGTTGCAGTGATCCCAGTTAACTGAACTGGAGTTGATATGGCAATGCCGATTAATTTAGCCAGTTCCAGTAGCAGAGGGCTCACTGAAGTTGTAATCCCTATTGGCCCCTGAGCCTATCGAGAGAAGATCTATCCCAAAGAGGGACCTGAATGGGAAGCTGATCATACTGGAGAAGAGCTTCCTGGAATAGAAGGTATGCCTCGGCATCAGCTGTCTTTGGCTCCAGCAGTTTGGCTCATGGGTGTAGTGCAGCTCTGTTTCTAGTGACTCCAGTCATCCTTGTGGGCCAGGCTAGATGCAACTACTCACTGACCTCTCTTTCTTTTCCAGGACACTGTTCAAGGAGAGCAGGCGTGTACACGGGCACCTAACATCTATCCTGTGAGTATCTTGTGGCACATGACAAACTAGGAGCCTACTGCTCGATTCCTCGTGGTTGGGGGTACTGAGTAAAGTTTTTTACGAATTTTAACACAGGCTCAGGGCAGCGGCCTCTAGTTTTGCTTGTATGATTGTGGCCTGGATGAATTGCACAAGGTTTAGTTTGTCTGAGTGGGAGAGCTGAGAAGATTAGAGGGTTGCATAGGGCCACTCCCAACAATAGGTTCATTATTAATTGTTCATCTTTTGTATTTCCTGAAATATGGTTAAAATGGGACACATTGTGCAGGCACTTGAAGCAGTCTCAGATGTGAACTCCATACACAGGGCTTCCCTATGGTTTTCAGTTGTTGCTCATTCTGCTGAGTGTACACTTGGCCCAGAGGAGGCACTGAGAAAGTTTGGGCTGTTATGCCATCAGTGTATGTGTGGCACTCACCCTGTTTGTCTCAGATTTGATCTCTCCTTTCCTGTTAGCTAAATAAGAACTAGTTAACAGAGGCAAGAAGGAGGGATGCTGGTTGATCATGAGAATTAGATCTGGTTGGGATGGTGCCTGCTCTAATGAGCAATTGTTTTTATGAGACTTACTGTCAAAAGGTTTGCTATCCAAGGATGTCCTTGGATCCTTGATACCTTCTCAATTCACAGTTTGCCTCTGTAGTGACCGTGGGCAGAGTGGCCATACCAATTTTGCTGGTGGATCTTTCTGTAGGTGGCTGTGCTCTGGCATGGATTATTGTAGCAAACCCACTTCTGGTTCTAATGGGACAGCAGGTGGAGAATGTGCAGGCTGAATACTTACAGCGCAGGTTTTAGAAGTATGTTTTGCCAGTGCTCCAAAGACTTTTCTTCTTCCCACCTCCGTCCTTTCTAACATGAAGCATAATTTGGGGCTGCCTAGAAAAAGAAACCTTGTGGTTAGAATCCTAGCAACCAGAGAAGCTACCTCTCTTCCTCTGAATCTCAGGAGATTAGTTAATGCACTCTTGTGAAGAGTCTCCAGTGTGCTCTTTAATTCTATTGTTCTTCAGGGACATTGAATGAGCCCATGTTTCTGTGTATGTCTCCAAACAGGGCAAAGAAAAAAGTGATGGCTCCTCCAAAGGTGAAAGTGAAGGTGAGTGGTGTCATCTCCCTGCCTCAAGGGGTCAATGCTGATCCTTCATACGGTGGAGAAAGGGAATCACTCTCTGGAATCCTGTCTCCATGGGCCAGATTACTTCTGTGTGACTCTATGGGATTGGCTTTTTGGCTTCCTCTAGTTCTAAAGCATTTGGATGAGGATGCTACTGTGTAGGGATATAGAAATCTTGGAAAAGGGTATGACAGGAGAATGGGCTTAAGTGATCTCTCCTTAAAACTACCATGGAACGCAAAGATGCTTGCTAAATCAGGGGCGGGTAATTATTTTGGCTGGAGGGCTGCTTAATGAGGTTTAGTGAGCTTTTGAGTGTCACATGGGTAGCCCTGCCCCTTGACAGCTGCCCTGCCTCCCTGGTCACCATCTTGGGACCAGAAGTCTCACCCCAAACCTACTGGAAGTCCCTCCCCTTGCTCCCTTTTGGGAGGGGGTTTGTTATCCTTAGAACCAGAAAAAAACAAATCATACACTAAAAGTCAAACACCTACTATAATGTATTTTAATTTTATTACAAAAAATATTTTTGTCGTGATTTGTTTGCATACTGCGTATACAGATGATTGCATAATAGCTCAAAAATAGTCTTAGTCTTGTATAGTGTGTGTGTGTGGGGTGGGGTGGGGCGTGGAGGGATGTATGTGTGTGGTAGTGTGGGGATGTGTGTGTGGGGGCAGTAGGGTAAGTGGGGGGGGTCAGGGTGTGGGTGTGGCATTTGTGAGGTGTGAGGGAAGGAGGGAAGGTGGGGGCTTCACTCCCACTTTCGTGGGCAGAAGGGCTGGCCAGGATACAATTAGTTGGTGGGTACCATGGGCCAGATGAAGGTGCCTGGCAGGTTGGATCAAGCCCACGGGCCATATTTTGCCCACTCCCTGCACTAAATGTCTTCCCCTCCCTGATTTTTGAGGAAATGGAGTGTTTAGCAGTGGTTGTAATTTGGGAGAATTGAGTAAGTTTAGCTTAAAGCAGGCAATGCTTTCTCTTCCAGATCTACCTAATCTCCCTCACATCCACACATGCAGATTTGTCTCTTGCATTATAGTATAGCCCTTCACTTCCTGGTCTCTATCAAAATCCAGGAGTTGTCATGAAGTTACTTGACAGCAGTTAGCTCCATCTGCTGTATGCTTGGTATAGGATGTGCCTGTCCTAAGGGGTGACAGATGTGGACTTTGAATGATTTGTTCTCTGATCCAAGAGTCTCCTCTTGGGGTATTTCCAACCCAGCTGGGTTGGAACTGGGAATATTTCCTGGCTAAAGTTCACTTCTGGCTTTCTCTTGTTTGTGTGGAGCACATGAGGGGCAGATCCTCCTGGTTGACACAGTACCATTACTGGGCAGGGATTGAATCTGTGACTTAAACAGGCTGTCCTTGGAGAACTAAGCAGTCAGCTGTGGTGCTACACAGCTTGTAGATCAGCCTGCAGAGAGCATGCTGAGCTGGACCTGCCTTAGCCCCTGCCATTCGACAGCTTGGGATATTGATACCCTGGTAAGAACTGCCTTTCTTTCCCTTTGAGAAGTAAGTTCCTTGTCAGGTCTGACGTGTCTCTCCCGATGTTCTTGCAGGACTCCTCCAGTAAGCCAGATAAAAAGATTCCTATGTCTGTTCCACTGATCCACTCAAGTGGCACAGTTTCTCTGTCTTCAGAGCCCCAGGGAGCAGCCATGGGCATCAGCACCCAAACTCGAGAGCTCTTGGTTCTCAGTGCTTCCCAGGCATCTAGCAGCACAGCCACCCCTGCTGCCTTCAGTATGGATGACTCCCTGGATGAGGACTTAATTCATAACCCAACCTCCTCACTGGAAGCTGTCTCAAAAGAACTGGCTGTGCTAAATAGCAGGGCAGCTGGAAGCCCCGATTTCACACTTCCTGGGACCCCCAAAACTCCTTCAGAGAAGATCACAAATCTCACCAGTTCAGAGGAGAAAAGGAACTTTGCTAAGTCCAGTCCTTCCCCTTCCCCGTCCCCCAGCAGCTCTCTCCAGTCACCCCTCAATTTCCTGGCTGAACAGGCACTGGCATTGGGACAGTCTGCTCAAGACAAAAAGACAGAGAGTTCCAGTTACAAAGAACTGTCCTGCCAAACCTCCCCCAATAAAATCCCTGATGCACATCAGGCCAAACAGAAGCACCACAGCCTGCAGCGACCAAGTCATGGGCCCCAGACATCGACACCTGTGCCAGCCACCCAGGTAAAGGTCTTTCACTCAAGCAGCCAGCAACAGAAAAACTTCACATCCCCAGCTCCATTTGTCAAGCTGCAGAGCCCCAAGTCCACCTCCCCGCTTCCCCAGCGCTCTCTCCTCCAGCAGGTTAAGACGTCAACTAAAGCTCAGAGCTTCCATTCCTCAGCTTCATCAGCAGCAGGCAGCACCCCAGCTTCAAGCAGCTCTCACAAGACCCCGGGCTCCTCTCCGGCATCCCTGAGCTATGCAGGGAAGCACTCGGTCAGCTCCAGTTCTTCAGGACAATCCTACAAAGCTCCTTTCATTTCTGGCTCCCTTTCCAAGCATGGGGCTTCTTCCAGCAGTTCCACATCTGGTGTGCCTGCAAACCAGAGCTCCTCCTCAGGGAGCTTGCTTTCTGGTGTGCAGACACCCTCCCCAGGGCAAACCTCCAGCCGCTCCTCCCCAAGCTCCACCGTAAAGAAAACTCCAGTCTCCCAGAAGCTGACTTTAGTAGCACCACCTGGTGGTCCAAATGGAGACACAAGTGGAGGGACTCAAGGGGTGGCCAAGTTATTGACCTCCTCCCTCAAGCCAGCTGTGGTGAGCAGCACTGCATCTTCTACCTCTGTGCCGGTGAGTACCCTGCTGGCTTAGCCCAGCATCTGAGGACACTGCTATTGCTCTTAACAGTTCCTAAGACCTGCCTCAACACAAAAGCTTTCAAGGAAGTTCCAAAAATAAGTGACTGTTTGCTCCTACTGCAGGCTTTGTGTTCAGATTGCTTGGACAATGACTCTGCCCCTGAATAGGGCTCCAGAATCCAAGCTTGTTTTATTTTTAAAAATACAGTCAGTGTCAATTACACCTGGCTCACAGTTTGGAATGTTTTTATTTTTTGGTATACTGAGGTGCTGGCTAGTTCAGTGTGCAGACAACTGAAATAATAGCCCAAATTAGCGTCCACACCTGTCCTGTTCACCTCAGTAGCAAATAACTGCTGAAATCTAGTGAGGCAAACTTAAGAGTGGTTTTCAAATGTGTGCAACATGTATCCACTTTCCAAATTTAATTCAGATGTTTTTATTTACATTTTCCTCGTTCTTCATTTCCTGTTCTATAGAGGTGGTTAGTTGTGTTAGTCCAAAGTCAAATTGAAGACAGGGCAGAGTGGCAACTTGGAGACGAGCTGGTTCGGCAGGGTATGAGCATTTTTAGGTAACACCTTACTTTTCCAGTTGCTGCCAGTTGACCAAGACATTAATTATTATCCACAGCTCTGACAAAGGTTGTTGTCTACAAAGGCTCCTGTCTCTCTGAGCCAGTTGGTCTCTAAGGGCTCCTATAGATGTGCACAGAGTCTGCTCCAATATGCTGGAAATCCAGTTCGTTGGAGCAGAGAGTCTGCTCCAATATGCTGGAAATCCAGTTCGTTGGAGCAGACTCAATTAATTGATTCTGCTAGAGCACAGAAATTGACACATTCCGCGACACGTGTATCAGCGTCCTCGTGCGTCCCTGAGCTGCAAAAATGGTGGTGGGGTGCTCTGAAATAAAACGCGTTCAGTGAGCTTTAATTCAGAGCACCCCGCCACCATTTTTACAGTGCAGGGACATGCGGTGATGCTAATGCATGTGTGCTTTTAATTAGCACAGCTCTTTAATTAAAGTGCCTGGCACTGGGTCCCAGAACTTATGTAAAAATGCCCTAAGATGCCCCCCTGCCCTGCTTTCTGCTTTTGTATTATGTAGTTGTTAAATAGGCAAAGGGGCTGTTTTGCTTTTGTTCCTTTAATTGCTTCCTAATTGTTAGACTTCTCTTGTAAGTTGTTTCACAGTTAAAATGTTTGTCTGATGGAGACAAATTCAGGGCTTGAACTCTTCCTGTAAGTATGTACATATGCACATGCACAGATAGATTTGCAGCCACTTTCCCATAAATTGAACTTGCATGAGGTCAAAGCTATAATTCTCTGGATTCAGCTATAATTTCACCTGAATTTTTTTCTTCCCCTGGAGTTTGTAGTCTGAAGGCAAAGTAGATCTGGAGCTCCTAAATCACTTGAAAGCACAACCTGCAGGCACCCAGTACAGTATTAGGTTCCTGTTTCTAAAAGTTTTGGTGAGTGTGAGTGTGAGTGTGTGTCATTCTTAATGCCTGTTCAGTGACTAACTTGTTACTGCTAACACTGAAGTCAATCTGGCTTTTAAGTAACAAAAGTTTATGCTAGCTAGAAAAATGTTTTAAAAAAAATAAACCCATGGTGCTGCAAAACCTTTTGTGCATGCCTAACTTGATGCACGTAAGTTTGTAAATAGTTTACCTGAAATCAGTGAAGCTTTTCTTATGTGTGTAGTTATACCCACTGATGCGCTAGCAGCAGCACAGTCTTACTTTTTGGTAGTTTGGGGGTTTTAATCTGTAGCAGATCTGTAAAGTTTCAAAAAAGATAGTCTACAATTTGCAGTGTTTATATAATATCATTGTGCTTCACTTCATTCCTGAATTGCATTAGAACAGACTTTCAGGCTTTAGATTTGCAAACTCAAACTTGGTCTGTTTTTTAAAATTACTGTACCCTAAGTATTCCAGCATCAAGATTGCTTCACTGTTGAAGAACAGGTAATTGAACTGGATTTATTTCAGCAATCCAAAGCATCTCCCACACTATCTTAAGTGCTAAATAGACAGTTATTTTGTGTCCAGCTACCACACCCTTCCGGTACTTTGGGATTGCTTCTCTAATCTGCTTAGACAGAACAGAACTTTGGGTTCTGAAAAATAAATACAAATTTAGTGCATCATTAAATAACATTGGGTGTACCTTCAACTTTGGGACCCCCTGCAATACTCCCCACAACATAGCCCACTGTAGCTAAAAGCTGATTAGTCCTGCTAAGTACTTTTATGTAATAAAGTACTGTCTAGCCAGTCAGCCGTCTGACTAAATGGTGTTTTCAGTTAGTGGAACAGGATAAAAATCCAAGGCTGTACAAAGTTGGCCCTTTTGCTTATAGGACACAGAGCAGCTGCATACATACTGCTGGGAACTAGTAAGAACTTCCTCCTAAGAACCTAAGTGCATGCTTGTCCACACATTCCCCTGAGGCATTGTTCACTGTTGGAGGTGGGATTCCAACCTAGATGCGACTGGTTTTAATCTAGTATGGTCATTCTTACCTTTTCAAACACACGATGTTCAGACACTGGGCTGTTGGCGTCATGGAGGTAACTCCTGGCAAGCTGGACGTGTGTGTGTGTGTCTGTGTGAAATGTTCTGGTGTGGCAGGAGTCCTGTACCCACCTCCTATGCTGCTCCATGTGGAATATGAGTAATGATGAGGTGCCACTGATTTCCTGTTTTGACTGACTTTTGCTCTTTCCTCCCCAGAAAGGAACTAGTGGGGCTGTGCTGCTAACCAGTTCTTCTTCCTTAAGTGTACTGTCTCCATCCTACAAGTCCAGCAATTCAAAGCTGCCAGGTGCCCTGAGCTCCACACCACTGGGGATTATATCTCCTATCCATTCCTTCCCTCTTCACGTCATCTCCTTCAGCTCGGACACCTCCCCTAAAGCAGGAGTATCGAAGGATGCAATAGTAACTGGCCCTGCCCCAGGAACGTTTCACCACGGCCTTGGCCACAGTGAGTTCTTCCTTTCTCCCCATGCGTGTTTCTCCTGCCTGTGCAGTAGAATTGCGAAAACACCAGGACTCAGCTGTGTTTAGCCCATTGCAGATGAGCCCATCACTCATGTTGTTGCTTTGTGCTTGTAATCCATGCGTTTGTGTCATTAGTAAGTGGTTTTGGACGCCCCTGGGCTTGTTCCTCTAGCTAGCCCAGGGATCCCACTGCTCGGCAGGCCTTAATACTGGTGGCTAAGCTATTGGCTCTGACTGCTGCAGCTCCTCTTGACAGCCAGGACCCCAAGAACCAAGTGCCATCTCTCCTATGCTCAAAACGCTCCCCTACTTGCACCCAGCTAGCAAGGAGCAGCTCAGCTAAAAGGCAGGGGGACAAGGCACCTGAGCCTGGGATCTGAAAGTAATGGAAGAGACTGGGACAGGGAACCAATGAAA